TAGGCCATTAGCGGCCTTAAGCTGTAACCATTGACATGCATGGGGACTTTCTGCAAAATTTTGATAAAAAAAATTAAACCATAGACCCAGTATCTAAAAGACACTTTACTGAAACCCCTCCCATAGACACAATAATCGATGGGCATACACCCACCAGATGTGACACTGTTTCTTGACTTACGGGCTTTGGTACACTTGAGCTAATAGTATCCCCTCCTGTTCTGTGGCTCTGCAAAACAGAGGGTGTTAGTTTTCTGTCGGCTGACTAGAAGGTCTGTGGGGGATGAGGCTGATGATAGGGCTGGTGGTGCTGAACCTGGGAAACAATACGCTCATTATCACAAGTACTGGCAAAATGGCCTGGTTGTTGGCATCGCCTATACACTGCTGGGCCATTACGAGAAGATGAATTACGCCTAAAAGGCTGTTGTAAGGACATAAAACGTTCAGAAAATTCATTAAATTGTTGTTGCTGTTACACCATCATCTCTTTTAACTCCACAATCTCTGTCATCTGAGGGGTAGAACATACTCGTGTGTCAGGGACCCTAGAGGTCTGCAGAGCACAGATAGATGGCACTGAATAACTCCTAGTTCTAGCAGTTACTGGCCTACCTTCCTGCTCCCAACGGATCGCTTCAGCCCTTACATCCAGTAAGGTGCAACCTGGTTTAGCCCGAACCACCTGCTTTAAAGTCATAAGAAGATTTTGATCATTAACATGTTCGACGAACTGGTCCCTAAGTAGAATAGCAGAATTAGGCAGTCCATTGGGTGCACACTTAACCACACCTTCCATTAAACTGACTAGGGCATGTGAATACTCTCCCTCTAACTGCTTACTGGAGAAAAACATAAGATTGAGAACAACCATATAATTCATGCAAAATGGACAAAATATTTTCCGGATCTTCCCTTTCTTCCCTGGATCGATACCTTATCTCATTCTTAGCTTCTCCCTCTAAGTGATCATAAATAAAACATGCTTGATCTACTGGCGCTAGATGCCTAGCGTGCATACTTGCACGTACCTCATCAATCCATTCCAAAACATCAATCCCCATGTTCCTACGGAATAATGGACATTTTCTTTCTCTTGGCTCGGGAACTGTAGGAGTGACAGATCTATTAACCAGAACAGAATTAACCCCAGAAGCCCCCACTCAGGGTGTCGCTACCTCAGTCTGTTCTTGCATGAGTCTCTCATTGTACGCCCTCAGTTGTACAACCATGTCTCGCAGTTCCTGTAGTTCCGTGTCCATCTTGGTGGGAAATAAAATTTCTCCCCCGACCCTCACCGGTAGAAGAGTTGACGTGCATTACCCGAGGGAAGATCTCGTCCAGGGACTAGCTGGCCAACTGCTGTCTTTCTCTCCCCTAAGGAAAATAACATACACAAAAAAAAACCCAACAAAAGAAAAATAAAACCTAGAGAAAGACGTCTCTATGTCACAAACCCTGCCAACTACGCCAGTTTGTAGCGTGAGGGCAACATAAGGTCTATGGGCAATTACTAAGCCCAGTCAACCATAGCCTGACTACGTCACCCTGAATCTTGTTTTCTTCAGGGAATGTTAGGTTAAGTTATAAGCACAGATCCGTGTGGACCAACCCAATAAACGGAATAGAGACGACTTTCTCAACTATAACAAAGCTTACAATTTATTGACAATCACATAATCACTTGTAAAACTTCATTCCTTATTTGATTAAAACACAATAAGGTACACTCTTAAAAGAGGGAACACCAACAACCAAAAACAAAACAATAATGAAAAACAAAAGAAAGAAACAAAAGAAACATAAGCGGGTACTCGAGGAAGACTGACCGGCCACCGGTGTGAGCCCACGCTATTGACCCGGTAAAAATCACTCATAAAACGTGCCTGTAAAAAAAAAGAAAGTACCAGCACTCACAGACACTCACACACACAATCAAAAAGAAAAAAAAGAAAATATCCTCCACACACAGTGAACATGCAGTATAATCAGAGGGTATCCACCAAAGAGACCACACCCAAGATCCAACCAGCACCCCTGAGTGTTCCGCTAAAATAACAAAAAAGAGAATAAAATTAGTTGGGTTCCACAAAAATTGAAATGTTCAGAAAACTGACCATTAATAGGCAATGCAGCCCATTTATAAACACCATAACAATAACAAATTCCACTTGGCGCACACAATATGGAATAACAGATTAATCCACAGAAGACAACAGCCAGTGAATAGAAAAGAAAAGATTACATAACCCAAAAAAATACAACTTGGGGGAAGAAAGACAGCAGTGGCAACTAAACGGCAAATCCGATGCTTCTAAATTAAATGGCACCACAGCACCATTTCCAATGGTCACCAACCATGCATCCACCAGCCCCACAATCGACAGGAAGATCTAATCAGCCTCGTACTTAATATGCCGCACCCGCACAGAAGTGGGGGGAAAACAGCCTTATTCGAATGGGAAACCTAAGTCTCAATAGGGAATAAAGTTTATAACCCTTCCAAACCACCGCTCCTTTCCGTCTTATAAAGCACATGGCAATTTACTAGCGTGCACACTTCCGCCTACTAAGAAACGCTCTTAAAGGGGCCATGTCACGTTCTTAAATTAATTTACGGTCTTACAAGGGACCTCACTACATCTTTAGTTAAATCAATTGTTAGTTCTTTGATTTTCTGTCTTTTGTTGGTTGGTTCTTTCTGTGTTTTAACATCTGTTTCTTTCATTCGTCTGGCAGTTCATTCACTCGTTTTGTCTGTCTGTCTTGTGCTTGTGCAGTTTGTTGTTGTGTTTTAGTCTTTTGTTCGTTTGTCAATTCTGTCCTTCCTCCTGATCCTCCCGTTCTTCGTCTTTCTCCTTCCCTTTCCCTTTTATTTCCTATCCTGTCCTTCTTTTCCACTTCCCTTCCTTTGTCCTTCCTTTCCCTTGAAGTTGTGCTCAAACCTAACTTTTGAGGGTACTCAACTTACTCAAAACAAATCAGTGCCAGTTGGCTCAGCATTATTTACTAAAGATCAACAGAGTCTTGTTGAAGGTTTCTCCAGCTGTCACGTCAGACTTGTAGATTTTATGAGCTGTTAGTTTGTGTGGAGTTGAATTTCACATTCAGTTTATGCTCCTCTCAGTCTCCCTACCTCCTTTTTCCTCTCTCTCTCATTCTTTTGCTATCAATCTCTCCATCTCTTTCAATTAAAAGCGAGCTCACAGATCCCTCACAGCAGACACTAATACAAACACGTTATGTATTCAGTATCAATGTGCAGCGTTTCCCTAGAGCCCGTTTTTAAACATCTTAACAAACACAGGCAACTGAAAAGCATTTGTTAGACTCGAGCTTACATTTCAATTAGCAGAAAGTGTCTTTTTGTGGACAAAATAATCTATTTTTGCATGATTTTGCTCTGATAAGAGAGAAAATATGACTCGTATATGGTCACCTATTAATCTAGAGATGAATTCCCACTCTGAAATGTGTGTGCGTCCTGCTGTAATATCCTGGTGTAATTGTTCACTTGCTGAGTGGGAGGGAAACCAGACAGAGGTTCGATTTCTTTTCCTCTGTTGGATTCACCTTGGGAGCCTCACACAGAAACATCACTAGGAGGATAGAAAGGCTCTCATCGGGTCGTGATGTCAGGGCAGATAATCAGTGGAGCGCTGGAGCTGGATGCAGAGAGACTGATAATAGAGTGAGAGGCACAGCAGCGCTCAGTTATTGTGATCAAGGAGATCTGTGCTCCCTCTGTTCATTCTTTCTTTCTAACTGTTTCTTTGTATCTTTCTTACTTTTAAAATCTCCGTTTGTTCATTTTGTCTGTATCTTCCATCATTTTATCTTTCATTTGTTTGCTTGTTTCTTTCGTTTTTGTATCTTTCATTTGTTCATTCTGTCTGTATTATCCTTTCTTAATTTTTCATTTGTTTGTTCGTTTAGTTTTGTGTATTTTTGTCTGTTCATTCATTCTGTCTTTCTTTCATTTGTTTCTTTTTATCTTTGTTCATTCTACCAGTATCTTTTGTTCTTTCATTAGTTTGTTTCTTTCTTTTTTGTATCTTTCGTTTGTTTATGCTGTCTGGATTTTTCTTTCTTTAATCTTTCATTTATTTATTTATTTATTTATTTTTCTTAGTTATGTGTATTTTTTTTGCTCGTTTATTCTGTCTGTTTTGTATTCTTTTATTTGTTTGTTTCTTATTGTTTGTTTGTTCATTTCTTTCATCTTTTGATCTCTCCTTTAAGTCAGTCCGTCTTTCATTTGTTTTCTCATTCACTTTTATTTTCCAGATTTTTGTTTAATATGTTTGCCTATTTGTTTATTCTGTTTTTTTCTTCTTTTCGTCACTCGTTCTTTCTTTAATTCTGTTTTTTGCTCATTTTATTTGTCTGTCCGTATTTCTTTCCTTTGTTTGTTTTTTTATTTACTTGTTTGTCTTTTTTTTTATTTGTCTTTTGTTCTTTAATCTTTCAGTTGTTTGTTTGTTTTTCATTTTTTGTTTTTCTCTCTTTTTGTTTGCTTGCTCATTTATTGCTCTGTTTTTCTGTAATTTATTTGTTCGCTTGTTTTGCTTGTTCCTTTTGTTTGTTTCTGGATTCAGATTTTCTATTATTTCATACTCACTTTTTTCTGTTTTTTGTTCTTTCTGTCTGTCTGTCTTTATTTTGTTTGTTTGCATTTATTCACATGTTTGTCTTTTTTTCTTTCTTTTTTTTTAAATATATCTTTATTTTCTGTCTGTTCGTTTGCCATTTTGGTCTTTTTTTTATTTACTTGCTCTCATTTTCTCATTTTCACATTTTCTCCATTGCATTTCTTAGGCTTGCTGGCAGATCTTACTCACGAAATTTGGATGTGTTTTTCTGTTCATAACCATACAAAAAAAGCCATTTGTTTGTTTTACTGCTGCCAAAAGTGTATTCTGCTTTCACAGTCCTTGCTTTCAGTAGTAAAAGCCCAAATTCTGAATCCATCCATGTATCTCTCTCTCTTCTCTTTTCAGAGCCAGTAACATGCAACTCAAAAAATTTCATTTGTGCCAACGGAGAGTGCATCTCCTCACGCTTCCGTTGCGACGGCGACTTCGACTGCACTGATAACTCAGACGAGGTTTCAAGTAGCACATTTGTCAATCATACCATTGCTAAACATTGTTCATCTGGTTCTGTTAAAGTGCTGATATCCCATCTGTTTTCAGAGAGGCTGTGAGAGCCACTGCTCCGAGGATCAGTTTCAGTGCCTGAATCATCTCTGTATCTCAGTCAAATGGCTCTGTGATGGACAGGAAGACTGCAAAACCGGGGAAGATGAGGCCAACTGCAGCCCTGCCAACACTGCCATGACAGGTTAGCTGCTTTCACAAGCTCTTTAAATAATGCAAACAGATCCAGGACCGATCAAAGCTGTTCCCAGACAGCTAGCTTGGCACTCCTATAATCACATGTCACAGAGCGGACACCTTTTATCCAAAGGGAATCACAGGCCTACAACTTCACAATGATGACTGGAGATCTCTGCACTGCCTCAAACCCTGCGATGCTGCCTTCATTTATAACCGCTAAGCTACTACCGCTTAAATCTAACAGCAAAATGACCCCACATTTGTCATCTTCTGCATTTAAATGTCATCCAAGGAGTTTTGTTCCAGTGAACGGCTTGTTCCTCCCTCAGCGTTAGACTCCTTTGAGTCTAAAACTGCTGCTTAAGAACACTTGATACAAGTATAGTACACCTGCAAACACTCCGGCCCAATGTATGCTTTAAAAGAGGTTGCTATAAAGAAGTATGTATTTTTCTGTGGCAAGTATTTACGTGCACCCAGAACATCTACCTGTAATGCTTTCACTGCATTTCTATAAGGAGGAAAAATATCATCCTCTCATCTCGCTTTTCATCTATTCCTGAAGAACAGATGGCAAATCCACTTACTCAAGATGGATTTTCAATATTCACTTCCTCTGTGGTATCAATAGCAGCTACACTCCTCCCCAGAGCGTTGACGTCAAAATAAAGTCAAGAATTTGAAGTCAATTTAAGTCAGTATGTGTATATATTTATTTAATAAATGAAAAAGGAATCAGAATAAAATTAATTTGTTTAATTTTATATATATTTATTTATTTCTCATTAAAATCGTATGTAATTTTATTTAATAATCATAAAATATTATTTCTAATTAAAATCATTACAATTTATTATCATAATTTTAAATGTTAATGTGGTATTGCACTTTGAGCAGTATGATATATAGTTAAATGTTTTTTTTTTGCAATATCACATTAACATTTAATTTAATATATTGTAATAATATATATGAATTGTTTTCTTATAATACACAAACACAGCCTCCAATATTAACCATATTAGTCATATATTTATATTAAAATATGAAAAAAATTATATATATGCTAAAAATTGTCAAATTTATATTATTATATTGCATAATATATTTATTATTGAACATTCATCTAAAGCTAAAGAACTCAAGAGTACTCAAGGACTCAGAATAATGCATGTTCTGAACCTCAGCTTCATCTGTTACTTTAACCCCAAGAGACTTGAAGTGCTTCTCCTTATTTTTTTTTAAGTCGAGGTCTCCCTCCTGTCTGTCTTGGCCCTCGTCTTGAATATTTCAGTGTTGTGTGCTGTGCACTGGGTGCCTGAGTCCATCCACGCCTGCAAACGACCAGTGAATTATTCTGATCGTAAGACCGCTGGAGATGCATTCAGAAAGCTCTCACACTCCCTTTCCATTTTTTTGCTCCTTCCCTGTAACTCAAGGCTAGTCTGGGGAATTTTACCCTACGATTAATATTAATGTGGCTGAAAACACTTCAGAAAGTGCAGCCAGAAATCTCTCACAACCTCTCGCTGACTGAAACTGCAGCTCAGTTTATTTCAGACTGAGCCGATCTACAGCAGGGAGTCACGTGTGTGTGATACGGATTCTTTCAAGGAACAGAGTGTCCCGGGACATGTAGATTGACTTGTATTATTATAGTATATGAGAGGATTCTTTGACAGAAGAATTCTTGTGAGACTTTAATTTGTCATTTCCTTGTGTCTGTGCAGCTCGGCCTACGTCATGTGCTCAGAATGAGTATGTTTGTGTTGGAGGAGGCTGTGTGTCGGCTGGCCAGCGCTGTGACGGACAAAACGACTGTTCAGACGGCTCTGATGAGGTCAGTTGGGTACATACACAGGGGAAAAAATGTGTTTACTATAGAATTTATATACGTTCAAGTACTTTTAAAGGAACAGTTCACGCGAAAATGAAAAATGTTGCCGTTTACTCACCGTCATTACATTCCAAACACATAAAAAAAATATATAATAATATTATATATATATATATAATTATTATTATTATTAATTTTTTTTGAAGAATTTTTCAACTGTTTTTATCAATATAGCGGAAGTCAATGGGGTCCAAAATGTTCACATTCCAAAAAAAGACCTGTTTTATATTGTGGTTAAAACTGTGTGGATATTATTATTAGTAGTAGTAGTAGTAGCAGTAGTACTGTAGTAGTATTAGTATTACTTTTTTTGAGTGTATACTGTTATAACTAACCTGCTGTTAATATTTAATAAATATATTTAAATAACAAATTGAAAAATAGTACGTGTCATTATTTATAATATTTTTCAAATTATTTTCAGTTAGAGCTAACTTTTCAGTTGGATAATTAATTAATAAATATAATTTATATGATGCAATTAAAATAATTCATATTATTATTATTATCGTTGTTGTTGTTGTTGTTATTATTATAATTATTATTATAATTAATATTATTAAAAACATTACAATGTTTGAAAGTAGTTATAACTAACTTTTCTGTTATGTATTTAATAAATATTATTTATATGATAAAATGTAAAATGTCACCATTTATAATAATAATTTTTATTTTGTTTTTTGTCTAAACAATTATAAATAAACTTTCAGTTAGTTAATTAATGTGAATTATTTTTAATTAATAATAATTGTTTTGATCTTTTTTGGAGTGTACACAGTTACAACTAACCTGAAAAATATTTCATGACATTAATAATAATAATAATATTCGTGAAAATAATAATAATACATTAAAATAATAAAATTTATAGTAAAAATTCACATTTTTATCATTTATTCACCCTCATTACTCACCCAAACTCAAATGACTTTGTTCAGCCCAATAAGATATTTTGTAGAGTTTTTCGCCTGTTTTCATCAATACAGCAGAAGTGAATGCCTAAAACTTTCAAGCTCCAAAAAGGAGCTAAAAGTAATTAGGTCCTTTTTAAATAGTGTGAAATTATTCAGGGTGATGACAGGATGCTCATTTTTGGGTGAACTGTCCCCGTTTAATTCTGATGCAGCGTTTTACAGTATAGCGCCGTTGTCTCTTGATAACAGCAGGTGGGTTCCTCAAGACTGCGCTCTGTTTTCTCGAGGGACTTTGCTTTAATTAAACCCTCACTCATAATGCAGTGTCAACAGTTCAAACGAGTTTGCCTGTCCTAATAAGGCCCATTAAAACAGACCTCTTTTTCAAGGGCCCCTGGAGAGCCAAGGCCGCATTTCTTCCATTATATATAAAAAAGCAATTTCAGCTGTAGGAAAAGGTCAAAGGTCACTGCTAACGAGGACATACCTCTTTATTCAACCAATCATTCAGTTGCGTTTTTGAAATCAAATCGTACCATGTGTGTGTGAGAGCAGGTGGACTGTATCCGGGAGTGTAAGGAGGATGAGTTCCTGTGTCGTAATCGGGCACACTGTGTTCCCGCTCGCTGGAGGTGCGACCGAGTCTTTGACTGCCTGGATCAGAGTGACGAGGACAGCTGTGACCAGGGTAACGCTCCAAAATCTGTTACTGGGCGATGAATTTTTACTTCCCAGCATGCTTTGCATGGGATCAAGAAAGTAAATGTTGAAATTAAGTTCTATTTTATGCATTTTTAAGTGAAGGGAAAGATTTGTTAGTGTTTAACGTTCAGTAAGTTATATTTAACATGCTTTTAGCTAGAAGTTAACCGGGATGTGTTCACTTGAGCTACGTTGTTTGTTTCAAACATAAATTGTGTGGAAGATGATGGTTATGATGATGATCATTAATCGTTGTTGTTATTATTTATTAATTAATAATAATAATAATAATATATTTTAGTGTACACTGCTATGCCTAATTTTTCAATAAATATAATCTATGTAAAATCAATAATATTATCTATAATGCAATTGATAATAAAATCATTATTTATAACAACAACAATAATAAAAATGTTTATGTACAAATATATGTACACGCATAATTTATTGTGTGCAGTTATAACTAAACTTTCAGCTAATTAATTATTTAACAAATATTTTATTATTATAAAAAATGTATGGAATCATTTTTCAAATTATATTTGAGCGTACATGGGTACAACTAACCTTTCAGTTACTTAAACATAAGTCAAAATAAATATAAAAAATCATATATATATATATATATATATATATATATATATATATATATATATATATATATATATATATATATATATATATATAATGTATATAATAAATATAATGTAAATAATATAGTTATTTATGTATTGTTTTCCATACTTTGAGCATTAATTTATAATTAACCTTTCAGTTACGTATAATAATAATAATATTAATAATAATTAGTAGTAGTAGTGGTGGCATATTTGTTGATTATTATTATTTTTGTTGTTGTTGTTATGGATGTGTACATATTTATAACTTTTTCTATACCAAAATAATACAATAATTTACTCATAGTACAAATAGTGCTCTGAAAACCCTAAAGTCATTAGCATTTACTAAACTAATAAAATTAAATAAAGTATTTGAAATGAAATGTTTCCTGCATGTTATCTTTACTACAGACCTGAATATGGTTGTTTAAGCATTCTGTGTTTGCTAGTACCAAATATTACATAAATAGTATGTTAACTAAATGTAACTGTTACATCAGCCGGAAAACCCTAATTCTGTGGCGTACGAGCCAGAGTGACAAACAGGCTGTCGTATTTATGCCAGTGCCTTTAAATTTCAGTTTCAAACCATGACAGATTTGAGGGATTTTCACAAACATGAACATCACAAGAATACATTACGGCGGATCAGCCGAGCCGTGTGCGGCACAGCGCGGAAAAAATCCCCAGCCTCACGAGAGAAGTAATTTCCCCAATATTTGTGAAAATTGGCGAGGATGAAAGGTTCTATGTTGCCACTTGATATCTGACAAGCGAGTACATGAAAGGCCTAATTTCAGTGTTTTGAAAAATTGCGGTGGTTGATATTGTTGTGAAGACAACACCAGCCATCCTACACCTGCGGCTCTTTAGAAGTGTTTGCATCACTGTTTCTAAACACCTTATGTATTTATTTGTAATTTTATAACTCTTGAAGTTATTGTGGTTATATGAAATGTCATAAGATGTCTCTTCAGAGTTGTGTTCCTTTCAGACGGCCCTGAGTCAGTGGATGAGTATGACTGGAATTATTTTTGGACTTCCTGGTGTTTTTCCAGAATTGGACGCCTTTGATCTTTGTCGAGTTACTCAGTCTCGACGGTGATGCCGTTTCAGTTTTATCGCTCGAGTAGATCTGGAAAGTTGCAATAAATAATGGATTTAAATAAATATATGAATTTAAATTAAATAGTACACATTGTGTTCAAAACAAGCTTAGTTAACCAGATTTTTATAATTTCGAAAGATAATGCGAGCGGTCAAATTTGGAATATTAATGCAAAGGTGTTTGTCCTGGTTGCCAGGGTGATTCTATGCAGTTGCTAAGAGTGTTTTTTTTTTTGGTTACATTTTATTATCCTGAGGTTCAGGGACGCGGGAAGTAGTTTTCACATGGTTGCAAATGCAACGCCAGGTAATATAAATATTTATTATTTTTCTTTTTTATATTTGTTATTATGTAATATTTATTATATAATTATATATTTATTGTTTGTTTGTTTGTGTGGTTCGTTTGGTTTAGTTTTTCAGCTGTTCATTTTTTGTGTATGTCTTTTGGTTCATTTTTCAGTTTGGTTTTGGTTTGTTTTTATTTTGTCTGGTTTAACATTTTAGTTTTCTTTATGTTTGGCACATTTTTATGTGTTGTTTTTAACTTAATATTTGTTTTGCTTTGGTTATTTATTTATTTAAATTCCACATACAACTCTTTTTTTCTACTGACGTCACATAAAAATCTATTTACTCATTCAGTCATTAATTCATTAAATAAATAAATACATACATGCATATATCACACACACACACACACACACACACACACACATATAT